TTGGGTCCACCCAATGAGAGTCCAGCAGGACATCCGAGGAAGGAAGGAAAATAGAGTTTTACTATTTATTCTCCTGACTTCCTCTCTAAGGGGTTGCCTCAGGTTGGTTGTGACCCAAGATGGAAATTCCTGGTTCTCATCAGGTGGCCCTCTCCATATAGCTCTCTGACCCTTAACACATACATTCTGTCCTAGGGGCAGTAACCATGGTCAACCTGCCCAGAATAGAGCCACAAATTCTTTGATACACCTGTCATCAAGAAGTGGGGTCTATGTCCTGTCCCTTTGAAAGTGACTAGGTTCTGTGACTATCATGAACAACAAAATATGACAGAAGAAACACTATTTCCGTTTCCAGATTGGCAGCTTCTACTTCCTGTCTCTTGGAGTCTTCAACCCACATATAGAAAGTCCAACTACCTGAGGCTGCCATGCTATGTGAAAGCCCAAGCTAGCCCTCTGGAGAGGCTTTGTGGAAGAAGGGAAAGTGGGGTGTGGGGGAAGTGAGGGACAGAGGACGGGAGAGAGGGAGAGAGGGGAAGAGAGAGAGAGAGTGAGAGAGAGAGAGAGAGGGAGAGACCGAGCCAGCAGTCCCACGCTATTCAGGCCCCAGTCATTGGACTCATCCCAGCCAAGGCCCCAGACCTCACAGGACAAAAACTGTCTCCTTTGTGCCCTGCCCTAATTCCTGAACCAAAGAATTGTACACTATACTAATGATTGTTTTAAGTCTTTAAGTTAAGGAGTAGCTGATATCACAGCAATAGACCACTGAAACATTATACTCTTGTATGGTGAAGGTTCTGTCAACCTAGGTCCCTGAGTGAAGATAACATAGACAAAAGCTACCTACAAGTTCCTCATTCCACATCCCAAGATAGACAAGCCCTGTGAACAAAAACAAACATTTGTTGTTTCAACCTGAGATGTTGGTGTTGTTTGTGACTGCAGCATAATCATAGTGACTGATATAGTAAGTTCTTTTGTCAAGCTAATCTGGACCAAAATAGCCCCATGCACGAGGGGAGTATCTGCATTCCTAAATATTCTGCACAAAGGAAGGTCTATAAATTAAGTAAATACATATGTCTCTCTTTTCTGTATCTACAATCTGGAAAACCACAAAAATCAGTCAACCTTGTGGAATCATGTGGTGGCCATGGGAACGCGCCTCTGAGCCCTCCAACTACAGGAAGCTTAACTGATCCAGGGCCCCTGTGGCTACACTGAAATGCTCCCGACACCTTCCACATGCTGCTCATGCCAACAACTGGGTGCAACGGGTATAGTCCAGCAGACCTGTTTCTCCCCATAGCAGTCTAGGACACTCCCAGCCAACCTCACCCCCAATCCTTCGATTGGGGTCAGATTTGCATTGCAGTCTGACAACTCTCCCAGCCTCCCCACCTTCCTTCCCGTTTTCTCTCTCACCAGCATTTCTTCCTGTAAAATCCTTGCACATTTAATCCTATCATGGCATCCGCTCCACTGAGAATGCAGACTAATACCACCATACCAATGAATATTCAGCCTTGAAAAATTAGCTTTGATAAATTAAACATACAGGGACAACAGAACTAGCTCTTGCTGGATAAGGGCTTTCCCATTAATCTGAACTGAAAAATCACCATTTTTTTACAACGTGATGTCCATATCTATGGCTAGATCTCATTTCTAAATGACCTATATTAACATGATATCATTTTCTTTAATATGACTTTAACAATGTGCTTTTAACATATCTCCAAAATGTACCCTTCCCTAAATGTCCAATGTAAGCTCCAATCCCGTATCTGGAGACCATGTATTTTGGAATTCAAAACTTCATCTTTTAGGAAAGTCACATTACATCTGCCATATTGGACATAACCCTGCAGGTCTAGGACTGAACACTATAATCAAATACATTCATATTTCTTCTACAAAACATACAAATATTAACACAAGTGAGATAAAACCAGCCCCGAGACAGTTCAGGTATAAGTTTGCTACCAAATGAGTTAAACAAAGGTTAGGTTGTGCTACCATATGAATTATTAAACAAAAAAGAAATTCAGTTTTCAGAGCTTTTTGAATTTTTGAGTTGTGGATAAGGGATTGTAGACCTGTATATTCACACTACAGAAAACTACACAGCCCTATTTTTAAATAAAACAAACAAGCAAACAACAAAAAACAGATATGTCTTTGTACTAATCCAGTAGAATAGATGGAAATCCCACCACACTAGATGAAGAAAGTACACAGGAAAACAACTTGCAAAGGCAGTATTTTATTACACATATTAGAGCAGAGAGAGAAAAGGTACAGATAATCTTCAACCCCCACTCACCACCTTTTACTACCCACAACCCTTTGTAATGACTTTACCTCTGGTTAAGAAATGCTATGAAAATACTGTTTATTACTATTAACTGTGCGTGACATGAGAAAGTTTTTAAGTATGAATTTATTTATATTATTTATGAGACAGAGAGACCAACTTCACCTCTGCAAACTGCCTACATCAATGGCAAGTAACTAGAATGTTTTGCATAAACTAGGGGCTGAGATAGTACATAAAGGAAATTTATTTAGGATATTAAATGAGGCTCCTCTGTCAATGCAAAGACCCCAAAATATGAAACTATGAACAGGATCCTCTGCTATAGACTTGAAAGTCCCAGGTATCCCTTCCCACACCGAAGGAGAGGATACTAGCTATAGTATCCCAATGGGAACCCCTCAAGAAACACCCAATTCTGGACTTCTTTGCTCATCTGCCTCTGAACCTGTCTTGTCATTCATAAAAGGCTCTTTTCTTCATCAACCACGTAGGGAGCCAAGAGCCAGCGGAGAGGCTGTCCACCTTCCCCACTTGCCCTTGCTGCCTTCCTAAGCCTTTAATTCTAAACGAGAAAGACACACACACAAAAAGATGAAGAGCGGAAAGGAAAATAAATTAAGGAGAAAATATTCTCCCTAGTCATTCAACAGCCCTGAGAGGAACGGTCCACAATGGATAAAAGTTAGGAATTTTAATTAGGGATTAGAAGTTCAAATCTAGTATGCTAATGTTCACGCTGCATTTATATAGTCAATATTGACTACTTTTTTCACAATAACCATGTATTAAAATAACTTCATGACTTAAAAACCTAATATTTTAATTACAGGCATAATTGAGAACATATTAATTAATATACGTAAAATGCTATTATTCTCTATGAACCAGCCACTGTCTGGGAATGTACTAAGTGCAAACACTCTGCCTGGCACTTCATTCCATTTGTGTGCTGTTTATTCAACCTCTAAGTCTAAGGTACTGTGCTTGGCACTAGAGATACCCCAGTGAACAAAACAGGTGTGAACCCTCCCCTCAAGAAGCAGAGAAACCATTGTGGAGACAGACATCAAGCAAGTTAATGAAGTTAATGCACATTTAATGATTTAATTCCGCTTGTGGTGAGTGCTATGAAAAAGAAGTACAGAGTGACCAGTCAGGTCCTCATTGCGGCTTTCTTAGTGGATCTCATCCTCAAGTATGGATAAAGAGTTGTCATTAATATTGGTAACATTAAGTTATGCTAATTATAATAACATAAACTATCCCAAACAAATAATACTTTTATAATTATAGCTATTAGAATAATGACTTAGGAAATTATATCAATCAGTCAATGAGGAAAACAACGGGAATAAATGTGGAAGAAAGTCTAAATATGTGAGAGAGTATATGGATAATTACTGCCACAGAATTTTACTAACACTACTGTATTCCTCCACAGAGGAAAATTCCTCCATGTAGAGGATTAGACTTTCTAGACAAGACATCCACCCCACCCCTAGAACAGCAAGATACTAACAGAAGGACAACCTGGAGACAAATACAAGGTTTACATTTTCCAAAGATATCTTCCATATTTTACAAGACATTATTAATTTCAAACATTCAGTCTCTTTGTGCCCAGACACCACAATAACCTAGAAATCTCAATACCTTGATGTCAAACCACATCCAAGATTACCTCTTGAACCTAGAAGTAACACAAAATTCCTAATCAAACGAAGTGCCCTGTTTGTTTTAGAAAATATTTCCACTATGCTCAGAAGGCGCCGAATGGTAAGAGATGAACATCTTCTATCAAGACAGGCTGCTCTAAACTAGAGCTCCCATCAGCATGTGCAGCCCGGTTTCAAAGTTGCCATAATCAGGTAACCTTAGATTCTGTAGAATGAGAGCTCATGGAAATGGAATGTCTAGATGTAGAAAGGTGGGCATTCCATCAAAAAAATGTGCTAAGTCGTCTCTTGCTTCTCTCCTACAAAAGCTGGTGATTCCAACCACTTGACAAAGATCCTCTGAGCTAAATACTGCATATGCGTCTTTACTTAGTGAAGAAAAGAACTCCTTAAAATTAGAATTCTAGGTCCATGGGTGTCTCCTGACAGCTCCCAATGGAACAGCTATCAGATGACTTATTATACAAAATAAGCGGAACATAAGGAATTCAGAGTGGTGCTAATGAGACAGCCAACCTTTGATGGGACCCTCACTTGGCCTCACTTTAAAGTTTTGCTGTCGCAAAATTGTTATAATAAAAAATTGTGTTCTCAGGAATGGCAAATCCATGGGACTTGTGCTACCCGTGCCCCTCTCCACATCCACAGTAAACCTTCCACCCTCCTGGACAGACCTGGCCTTAGAGGACGCGTGACAGAGTTCCAAGGAGCCACCACCCATCAACTGGAGCAGGCACAAGAGTCAGTCTGTTTGCCAATCCTACTTTAGACTGTTTTACTTGACATTCAACATGCTATATTCTATGACACCAAATGGATCCCATCAGACTTAAGCTGTCGCCATTGCTAAGACCTGTGTTTGACAGCGCCAAGGAATATGGACGGAACGAGAGGAAAATAAGGCTAAAGTCACCATCAAGTCCATTACACCATGTTCGCCTTCTTCAGTTTCCATCTGTTTGTTGTACAGATAAAGGGTCCACCAGCCAATTACTAACCTTATGGAGAGCAGGAGCCAGCACTGGTACCAAGAACCCATTGTAAATATAGTTTACCAGCTGATTACGAATCAAAGGGTGAGCAACCTAAGAGAGAAACAAGTAGTCATGAAAAAGACAAAGAATTCAATCTTTAGGGCTTCTTAAAATCAAACATTTCTGTGTACATCCTGAATTCAAAAAGAAAATCCAAATGTTCGCCATTTATTCTATGGGTTAAAGAATAATTCAGACTTCAAACCACCATGTAATTTTTTCAGATGGTTTATTCCAGTATAAACAGCTTGGGCTTTCAAATTATTAAAAAATGGTAATTTTAAGTTTCTGTTTATAAACAGACAGTAAATAGACAAACTATGTATAAGGACTCAAGTTAAAACTAACTGAAAAGTATAATTTTTGCCCCATAATTCCATCTATATCTCATCTCAGCTTGTGACTAATTTAAAAAAAAAAGAATGTAACTGTCAAAATGAACAATTAAATACATATGTTTTGCTAACAGGAGAATGGTCTCATTTTGAAGGTGTATTTTCTGCTACTTATTTTATTGGGAGGAAGGCATTTAGAAAAATTTTTAATAAAAAATAGATCCTATTCAAAAGCAGAAAACATTATCATAGGTACAACACTGTCTATATTTGATTTGCAAAATATGTTTAACATGGATAACCCTTAGTAATATCTTTTATAAGTAATCTTTTCAATAGTACCCCCAAACAAAAAAAGTCTTAAAAATATATGGCCTCAATTTCAAAATACAGTATAAAATATATCACTTCTCTGTTCTTAACATGCTGGTTAGCTTTACTTCTTCCTTTAAAAAAATAATAAAGTAAAACAATAAAATAAAAAGCAATTTCTAGGGAAGTGAGGCTAGATCTTTAAATTACTAATAATCTCTGTGTACATTTGGGAAGAAACTAATAGTTCCATCTCTTTTATTTCCACACACTTCAGCAAGAAAATGTTGATAGACTGTAATATTAAAGGAAAAAAATAACTTAAGATGTAATCCACTTATCTTATATATAAATAAAACTTCCTTTGACTTAGCAATAAAAATGAGATGGGAACCAAAGTAATTTACTTGCATTTTCTTCCAGAAGCTATTTCTTTATTTGGTAGATAAACAGATTATAACTAACATTTTTCACCTTACAATCATCATAAAGAAAATTTGATTTCTTAATAAATCCAATATTAAGGTGATGTTTATGTGGTATAGAAATAAAACATTTTTGATGAAAACCCACTACATCCTTAAATGTACATAAAATCTGATTTTTATTGAAAACAGTATCAAGAAATCTGAAAGTAAAAATCTAATCAAGAAGCCAAATATACTAGAGTTTATTGGCTGGGTTTTTTTCCCCGAAGCAGGCCAATTTCAAAGCAAATTTAATTTGTGTTGCTAAGAAGATGCTTAACTTCTTCTAAATTCAATTGGGATAACAATATTCTTCATGTAGTATGCACCATTAAGCAAAAGAAAGTGTTTTCCTTTGTCGACTCCCCAAAAGACCTTGAAATAGAAGTGATATAATTTGGAGTACTTAGAAGCCTAAAAATATCTATTTAATGAGTCAGGCACTGAACTTATTTTTGATGGTTAAGTGGATAATCAAACAGAATTAACATTTTTTTATAAGGAAGATAAAAAATTTTTTTCTCTTCTCAAAACTTCCTAGAAACCCAGACACTAACATTTTTACTCATTCAAGGACATTCAGTATGCTTCAAGTCGAGCATCCATATTCCATCAACATTTATTGAAATAAAGGGACCGTGTATAAACAAATCCTTTACACATAACAAAAGCCCCCTCGATTGTGCTCCAGTACCTGTATGACGGCGTTGCAAAACTCCAGGGAGTTCATGAACTGCACCAGAGCAGGGAGGAGGAGCCAGTCGTCCTGCAGAAGGCAGTGCCACTCCTCGCCTTTCTCTTCCAGCTTTGTAGGCAGGGAAGAGTACAGACCACTGAGCCCGGTTGCGAGTACCTGAGTTTAGAAATAAAAATGTAATCAACTCCTTTCCAAAGTCCTTAACCTGCCGCTAACAGCTCCCAGGTGAGGCCAATGCCACTGCTCCAAAGACTGCACTTGAAGTGACAAGGTATTAAAAGTATTGGAAGGTGTCCGCTAGCTAGGGAGGATTCGACAGGTGGGGACAGCAGAGGACAACTCCAGCAGGGGGAATAGCAGCACCCAGGGTATTTGGCTAATACAAGCACATTGATACGGGTTGCTTATCTTTCATGTAGCAGGCATATGCTGCGCCAGGGGCGGGGGGAGTGAGGGAGAAACATGCAAAGATGAAGAAAACATGATTTCTGCCCCCAAGGTGTTCAGGAGACAGGCAAGCTCATAACCAGTGCATTACAGTACAATACACTGAGTGCAAGTGCAGAGAAGGCACACACTCCAGTCAATGGGAGGAAGCCCTAGACCAAGGTGGACCAAGACAGAAGATCTCACAGGTAAGAACCATGAGCGGCTTTATGAGAAAGAGTCCTGCACACATGTTAAAGGTCATGACTGACACAGTCTAAAAAGCACTTTTTTCTCCCCAAAATCAATGCATGACTTTTATTGCATCTTGAAAATATCACAAATAAGTCTGAGGAATCATTCCGCATCTTCGTGTTTCTGTCGCTGGACAACTTAGATCTTATTCATCGGCCTGCTGAACTGTTCCTTTTTCAGAAACATAGATACCATCCAAAAATTTTCTGATATCCTTGTTTTCAACTGTTGTGGCTGGTTGCATCAAAGCAGCTGAATTTGATACAAGTTCAATGTCTTTTTTTCTCTCAAGAATTAACTCATCTTTCGGGGCTTGAGATACTGAACAAGCAACACAACCTCAACCGAACCCTGTGGATGTATTTTTTACCCAAGAAATTTCAGATTTCAACAAGAGAACCATCCTCCTGAATAATGACATTGATGGGGAAGTGAGCACACACAGACCTCATCTTGTAATGGACGCCCAATGTAACACCCTTGATCATATTCTGTACATGACTACAGAGAGTGCAAACAGCAGCCAGTTCCTTTCTATTTCCCCCACATTTGTCAACCAGAGCCTCTTCTTTTTCTTTCCGGGAGACTGAGCTCTACATTGATGTTACTGAAGTCCCTCCACAGGGTGCCTCTGGGGCCCCTTCACAACAACTGTGGTCCCTTCAGAGTGATGGCCACATTTTCTGGAATGTCCACCATCTGATTGCTGAGAATGGTCTTCATCCTCGCAGTGGATGCAGCAAAGAGCTCAAAAACACTTCAATCTGATCTTCACAAATTACACCTAGAATAACTGGCGGTCATGGGTCAGTTAGACATGATGGCAATAATTCAAACAGAGCTAAAGCGTGTCTAAACTGAAAAGAAAGGAGGAAATAATTTTGAGATTCACGGGTAAGGTAGATATGAGGGTGATCTAACTATGACATCTGTCCATCCAGTATTAATCCAAAGTCCACGGGGTGCTCTCTTCCTAAAATGAAACTGACAGCATTTAGGCTTAATGAGTGGGGCTGAATGAGAACTCAACTGTCAAGTTATCCAGCTTGGTGGAACACGCTTGTGCTGAGTGCCTGTTGATTGTACTTTGGGGAGTGTAAGACCAAGGGAAACAATGAGTTTCACGGTCCTGGAGGTCTCCCAGCTGGGAAGTGATGCCAGCCAAACAGCAGATACTGATTGGGCAGAGGTGCAAAGGGTGGACAGGAATGGCACAGACTGGAAACAAAGAAGTGGACCATTAAAGGCATCCCTCTAGGCAGCGATTCTCAACCTGTGGGTCGCGAACCCTTTGGGGGTCGAATGACCCTTTCACAGGGGTCACCTAAGACCATCGGAAAACAAAAAGATATTTACATTGCAATTCATAACAGTAGCAAAATTACAGTTATAGAGTAGCAACGAAAATAATTTTATGGTTGGGGGTCATCACAACATGAGGAACTGCATTAAGGGGTCGCGGCATTAGGAAAGTTGAGAACCGCTGCTCTAGGGTAAACCCTGAGGTTATGAGGGACTCAAGTGGGATGGAAATATTCAAGAAAACATTCAGTCCTAAGCTAGGCCCTGGAAAAAAAAAACTGCCAAGTATTTATTGATCTCAGTCCAATAAGAGATGGACAGGCAATTATAATAGTGTAACAAATGCTCAGAATACATCATAGGAAATATATAGTGCTGTGGATATACAAAAGGCCCTTAACCCAGACTTCAGGGGTGTGGCACCCTGGAGCAGGAAATGTTCTCAGAAGGGATGTCCATGCTGCTGAAAAATAAATAATAGCCGGAAAAAGAGTGTCATAAGGAAGGATATTCTAAGCAGAGGATGTACAAAAACTCAAAGGAGAAAGAAAAGATGGCATCTTCCAGGAACTACATGCAGGATTGTCAGTGTGTAGATTTAGAGGTGGAAGGAGCCTGACACGGTAAGCAGGGGGCAGGTCCTGCAGGGTTTTGGAGACCAGGAGAAAGAGCTGGAGGGACATCCCAATGCGGAGCCCAGGAGGCAGCTGTGGGCCTGGTGCTTAGGAGAGGGATCTGGACTAGAGATAGAGATCTGAAACCATCCATATGCAGATGGCGCCTCAAGCCATACAGGCCAGAGGGAGAGATGCAACAAAAGAATCCATAGTTTCTGGCATCAGAAACAGAAAGTCAGAAGGAGGTGTGGGTCCAGCTATGTTGAACTTGGAAAAATGATCTTTAAACTCATTGCTGCCTCTCCTGTTCCCTCGTTCTGTTCTCACAACACCCTCTGCATTTGTGCAGCAACTGTCATTCTTCTATGATACTTATTCGTTTATCAGCTGTCTTCCCCATCTCACCTGGTCTGATTTACTCACTCCAGTTCACAGTGGAGGTGTGGATGATTTGTCTAGTGTGGTCTGTGAAGGATCAGATGCCAGTGGTACTTCCCATGAGTACACATCCAGCTCGACCACAGCATACAGCCCTGGCCTGGGACATGGGAACCAGGAGGTCTTAGCACAGGAAAACCAGGTGACGCCATGGGAAGGAGAGGAGGGGATAATGTGGAATAGGAGTAGGAAGGGCAGTGAGAGACACAGGTGAGCCATTTCAATATTAGAGACATCAAAAGATTATATACATTTCTCTGTTCTGTGTCCTAGGGACCTTCATTCACTCATGCACTCACTCACTCATTAAAGAAGAATTAAGGAGCACTTTTCAGGCCAGGTAATATGGTAATTACAGGAAATACAACAGTAAACAACATTGTGCATTTCTCTCTTTTTCAAAATCAAGGCATCTGTGGCCCCAAAGGAGAATGTCCCCTATTTAAAGTACTTAACTCCTTGTCAACATACCCAAACAAATCACTTTAATTCCAGTTTTGAATGTGACCCCAGTGAGTAGACTGTAATAAATTAGAAACTTCTGCCAAGAGAGGACAGAGACCCAAAGGTCTCCTTCAAGGGAAGTCTAACCTTGATGCCACATTTTTATAATCAATTACATTTGCTCACTCATGCTAAATTAACCACAGAACAAAGGCCTTAATTCCGCATACTCTCGGTTCCTTAACTACTCGGAGGCTTTGAAGATGAATTCATTGAGACAGGCTTAATTTGCCTAACTAAAAAGCTGGGAATAACTATTTAGTATATCAATATAATTACAGCAACATTAATCTTCAAATTATATACATCAGTGACGGTAATTAAAAATAACACATACCTAATATTCACATTTTTAAAAGAGTCTTCTTGGAAAAGGCATGGCTGAGATGCAAACAGAAGCCTACCTGTACAAGACGATGCAGTATAATAACCAGACATGGGGTCCTGTCATGTTCTTGCTACTATAAGTGGAACTAAAGAAAGTCTGTGCTATATGCTCCAGGCAAAGAAACGTGGAAGAAAATACTCTGCAGAACAAAGAGTATTGCATAGTCTTAAGAATGAGATTCTAAATCTTTACTGCTCAACTTTTATATCCTCCTAAGACTTTGCTCAGCGTTTAGACTCACTCACCCACTCCACATATATTTCTAGAACGTAGACTAGGAGCCAGGTACTATGTGAGGCTGGCACTGGGGAAAGAGCAGTGAGCAAGTCAGACCAGGTGAGATGGAGAAGACACATGATAAACTAATAAATGCAAGAAAGACGATTCCTACCCAAAAAGACAGAGCTGTGGGAACAGGACAAACGAAAGGGAGAGACACCCCAGGTTTGCAGATAATTTTTCCAAGAGCTTCATAGCACAATCTATTTACTTTTACATTTTATTTTTTTAAACAAACAGGTTTTATTTGTCACCATGAAAATCTGATTTTTAAACAGGTTCTTGGACTGGCGGCTCATATCCATCAGCTCGTTGAACGTGAGCACCTGCCTCACCCCAGTAGCTTTGGGACTGCTACCTTCGCCATGAAGCTCCATGAGTTTTCCCAATTCAAACTCGGGCTCCTTCAGCATTTTGACTTTTCTAACAAAGACATCATGGAGCGGAGAAATAGATTGACAGGCCTTTGCTAGGTCTTTTCCAATGCTATCTGGAATCAGTTTATTGACCACTTCTTTCAAGTCATTTGTCTGCACCTCTCAGGTCATGATTCCCATCATCTTCTTCCTGTTGATGCTGAGCATCAGAGGTCTTTCGAACCTGATTGTTACATTTTTTAGTGAAACCGACACAGAATAGACAAAGCAAGTAACCATCGGTAGTCTTGACAGCAACATGAGTTTCAATCATGGTCTGCCATTTTTTGACCATGGAGCACATTTTGTCACAGGTAAGAGCCATGCCACGGAAATTAGGCAGCTTTTGTCCTGAGCATCCTCAGTAATTAGCTTGAATTTTCTAAATGCAACTTCAACATTCTTCAGATCAGCTAGGCTCACTTAAAAAACATGACCCTTGAGACCATCAGATGCGATTTTGGTTCCTTGAGTTCACGTGACTGTTTTCCCAATATTTCTTATATTGAACATAGCTGGTGCTTTCACATCACATCAATCTTGGCTGCTTTCTTGCCGCCATTTGTAAGGTGCTTATTCTTGCCAACAGCCATGTGCTGCTCAGAGAGCTAAAAGGCTAAATTTCATTTTTAACTTAAAAAATTTTAAATACATAGACATTCAACAGCTTATTAAAAATAAAATGCTGATCAGCTATTTTAAACTTTTATTGATCCTCAACACACAAAAGTAATTATAAAACATTGTATTCATTCCCAGCACATTATTAACCCAGTATTTTTAATTTATCTTCTCTCAAAAGTCTCCTTACAAGATACTCACCTTATAATCACCTTATAAAACTACAAGGATAACAACAGGTAATTTAAAAAGCAAAACACTTCCCTGACAGCAGTGTAACATGGCAGTTGTTGAGACCATGGATTTTAGTACCAGACTAGCATGGTTTTAAACCTGACTCTGCCATTTACAGGGACTTATTAACTCCTCAAGGGTTTAGTTTCTTCTGGGTTGCTGCAAGGATTAAAGAATAATATACTGCACGTAAATAGATGACCATCGTGGCTGACACGTAGCAATGTTTCCGATGGAAGGAAGGAAGATGGCATGCACAGAGCACTGAACATGTCAGGGAAGGTCCATCTTTAACTTGAAACATCTAATGGTGCCCAGTTAATTTTAGCAAAAAGAAAAAAATTTTTTAGCAGATGGCTTTAGTCTGAAGCTAGCAGCAGAACACCTGCTGGGGACCATTTAATACACCTTGCCAAAATAAAAAGCCTCATAAATTTTAGATATGGGATCAATAATTTCTGCCTGGGCTGTGTACCTAAAGGTTGCTTATTTCAATTTGCATTTCCTAATTTATGTCTACGCTGTTTTCTACTTTTGCCAATATGTAACAAGTGACAAGGGCTTAATCATCAATATTTGGTTTAAACAAATCAAAAGAAGACAGGGTCATAGAGTCCCCAGCCATTTGTTGGCACTAATTTGTTGCCTAGAGTGTCCTCATTCTCTCTTTTCTTAAAAAGGCACATGTGAGATAAGAGGCAGTGGAACTAGCGAGCTCTTCCTATCAATTGTAACAACAGAAGTGTCCAAAAGTGGTCCAGTTTCATGAAAGAGTCATTACTCTTCCCAAAGCCTGATGTTAACACACTTGGACAATCATACTAATTAGAGAAAGATTTTAGTCAATTGTGGTCCTTAGCCGGATGGTTAATAGAGTACGCTTTTATATTCAACATAAAAAGTCCCCCCCTTTTTAAAAATTATGTTGTCATATGTAATTATAGAAAAGTGAGTACAAATGAGATTATGGGATCCATCCTGAGGGGGCAACTTAACACAAGGAGGCTCTGTGTCCCATCCCAGCAAATGAGGTCAGCTGGAGATGTTGTTTTTCCTCCAATTTTAATGAATTGTACAGTGTTCTGAAACATGTTTTTATAAAAGAAACGATTACTCAGTGAAATCTGTTGATAACGTAAGTGGAAATCTAAACATTAAAAACATGCTCCATTCTAGTCCTAATAAATTTAAATGTTTAAGTATGAAATACTACAAACACATAAACTGTAACAGAATAGAAACCATCCCCAAGATTTAACAGATTTTAATATTTGGCCATAATTTCTTCAGGTCACTTTATTTTTTTCAGAAAATAAAACATAATAGAGCTGAACCCTATACCAATCCCATTACCATCATTTCCCCTCCTTCATCCCCAAAAGTAACCAGTCTTGAACTTAGTACATATTATTCCTATACTTGTTTTTGTATTTTTGCTGTATTCAGATGTATCCAAAAAAACAGCATACACTAGAATTTTGCGTCTTAAAACTTTATGTAAATTTTATGTAAATACTAACATATTATATGCCACCTTTCACTATTTATTTTTTTACGTAACATGTTTTTAGCCTTTTGGTATTCACATATGTAGATAAAGTATAGTCACACGTTAATATATATGATGCATTCATTTCTAATGCTAAGTAGCATTCTATTGATGTAGAACAAATCAGTTTATCTTTCCCTTACTGTGTTTCTATTTTTCTCTTCCTCACATCACTAATCTATTGAATATCTCTGTGCATGTATACTTGCAAACATGTGCCAGATTTCCCGAGGGCAGATATCTAGAAGTAAAGATGCAGGATCACATGGTATGCAGATATTCAATTTTATTAAATATTACCACATTGCCTTCCTGTGTTACTGTACCAATTTACATTCTCAAGAGTTCTTGTTTTTCCGCACCTTTGACAACACTTGGTGTTATCAGATGTCTAATGGTTAGCCTCTCCCATAATCATCTGTTGCTCATTGTGGGGTGATTTGCATTTCTGATGCTAGGGAAGATGAGCATATTTTCTTATGTTTATCGGCTTTGGGTGTCTTCTGGAAATGGCCCGTTCATATCCTTTGCCCATTTTTTCTAATTAGTTGTTTCATCAATTTCTTTTCATTTGTAGCATTACAAATATTTTTCTATATTTTGAGTACCAATAATTTATAGTTATGTGTGTTGCACAGATCTTCTCCTAATCTGTATTTTTGCTCTTAATTCCAGTTTTTTCTTCATGGTTGGTGTTTTATAGGAAATCTTGATAGTTTATCATTTATGTACAAGGTAGTGGTTAAGCACACGGGTCCTTGAGTCAGACTGCCCAGGTTCAAATCCTGACTCTGTCCCTCACTAGCCATAGACACAGCTTTGGTGGGGGTGACGCATTATCTGCCTACCACGATTGCTATATCCAGTCTGGAGCACCTTTGAAGAAATTTAAGCAATAACACAGCACAATCAGAATTCATTTAGGAGTTTAATCTGACGGTGTAAAATGGGTGAGATTGCGAGATGCTGAGGAAGTAAGGGAGACACATTAGGGTCTAGAAACAAGAGTGGGAGGAATCAGAAGGGAAAGGAGGAGCTGGATATGCACAATGCTGTGGAGGTAGAAGCTTATTTAGAAATAAACATTTTTTTTCAGGGAGCTCAAAGAAAGGCAAACTTGATATGTTGGCACAGGTGAATGGAATCAGTTCTTCACTTCCCATTGGACTATCAATCTTTGTTCAATTTTTTATTCCATTGGCCAGAACCCAGAATAAAAGACACCTGGTACTCTTAATTTTTTTAAACTGAAATTCTATTTTTCAAAAAAAATGTACTTTTTTTTTTTTTTACCCTGAAATAAACATTCACCAGACACTAGGTGACCCTGGTTTATTAGTAAAAATAGGAGTTTTGTGGTATAAAGAAGTTGACCGCTTCTGAACCTCAAAGCAACATAAAGTGTGTTACTCACTAGGGTTGCTATTAGCATTCTGAGCAGGTCAGTTCCTTACTGTGCAAGACCATTCCACAAACTACTGGACATTAAGCATTCCTGGCCTCTGTACACCAAGTGCCTGTTAACCTCCCATTTCAGCCACCCCATGTCCCTATGGCAACCAAACACACCCCACACATATTTCTAAATGTCCTCTAAGTGCCCTAACCCCCTGGTCAAGAACTACCCATGTGGCGTTAATTAACAATGAATCTAATCTACTTATGGCAACTTGCCTGGGTTGCTCCAAAAAAACTCACTAATGGTCTTATACACTATTCCAGCAGAATCAGGCATACTTAAGGCAATATAGTTTACAAAGAAATATAATGAGATGAGTGGTCACAGGAAGTGGAGTACAGCATAAGGAATAGAGTCAGTGGAATTGTAACAGCTATATACCATGTCAGAGGGGTAGTAGATTGGGGGAGGGGGTTATCAGTTTGTGAGGGGTGTACACATGTAACTATTACATTGTTTTGTACACCTGAAACAAATTAAAAAAAAAAGAAATATAATGAGATGAGTGGTAAAAAGATAAGACAATGGGAATAAACTGCAACTGTTCACAGGGTTAGGAAAATAAAAATAGCTGTTGCCCAACATAACTGACAAACCAGAATAAGATATAAATCTGTCATCTAAATCCCCCTTCCCAAAAAAATAAATAAATAAATAAATCCCCCTTCTAAAGACAACACCAACTCCAAATATATAACCAGAGCCCTAAGGCATCTTCAGAGTCCCAGGTCGCTCCCATTATTTTCTGGAACTGTGAGCGAGCCTGGGCTGCTCCTACATCGGCAGAGGACCCTACACTTTATTTCTCACCATACCCATGATTAAGAAGCTATACAGAGTAGAGTATTTCCTGCTACAAACTGTAAATACGTATTTATTTTTAAAAATCAGTGCTTTGTATCTACATTTATGGTCGTTATCTTGCTGAGAAACAAATTAATTTGTGAAACCAGCTGTGAGGGGTCTCTCCACATGCCATGATTCATTGGCGCAAAATCAACCTGAAAAGCTAAAAATATAGACAGCGCAGGTCTTACCAATTGCTCAGGATATGCTCTTGGGAAAAACTAAAATAGCTTGTAACCCAACAGAAATGAACCAAGACACGGTAACACATATAGTTTCCTCCGTTGCCTTATTTTTGACCTGACACTGCTCAGCCAAATAGCATCTCAACTTAGGATGGCCCTGCTCCCTGCAAAGGATTTCCTCTAAACATCTTTCCATAGAAGGTGCCAAGTACAGCTTGCTGAAAAGGAATAAAATGGTGTTTATCATTATTAGCACAAGAGAGGAAAAAAGGGGTGGGTGGAAAACATGGCAGTGTGAGGGACTTACTGGGCAAAAGTAGGTGTTGTCCACGATGTGATGGGCCACCATGCTGTTCTCGGCAGAGAGAGACATAATGAAAAGCAGGGCATCCCGGGCCTGCTGACCTACGGTCCCCTCTCGGTGAATGAAAGGAATCAGAAGGGAGAAGATGAGGAAATTGGCCGCCCCTTGGTCCTCACTTGTGTGGAAGAAGAGTTCCAGAATGGATGGATCTTTGGCAAGGATGGAACAGAGCTGATTGAGCAGGACAACCAGCTTGCCCTCCACGGCCGGGGTGGTTGTCCCTGAGCAAGAGCTCAGCAGCATCATCAAGGGCTTCAGAATGGGCTTGTGGTGCAGCAGAGGCTGGTGCGACTGGGTGACCAGCATCTCGTACATCTTTAGCTGCTCAATTTTAGTATCGTCCGTAAATTCCCGTCTCAGGCTCCAAAGGAAGAGTTTCTCCATGATGTTCTCAGAGACCACAAATTCCAGAATTGGCCCCATCGCGGCATCCTTGGCTTGCTCCTCAATCAACAGGAAGAGCATGTGTTCTACGTAATTCTGCACGGCGCTGGCCTCATCTGGGGGGATGGATCCATATTTGGCCTGGGTGTTCTTCAAGGGGTCATGCTTCTCTAAGATCTTCACAACCTGTAACCAAATGAAACCGCTGATGCTTAGCGGAATGACAAAAACACCGCCCCTCACCCCTGACTGTACCAAACCTTCACAGCAAATGCAAGAGCCATGGCCCAAGACAAGGTATACTTGAGTGTTCCCTCTCTCTCTCCCTCTCCCTCCCTCTCCCTCCCTCTCTCTCTCTCTCTCTCCTCTCTCTCTCTCTCTCTCTATCATGAGAATAAAAGGAAGGGGTTAAACTATAGAAAGATGCTTAAAGATGCTCATTTAGAATAGTTACAAATTTTTTACTCTAAGAAAATAGTACTGTTATGTAAACTAAGCTACATGTATTCCTGGGCCTATTATCTCAAAGACTACTGAGCAAAATGAAAAACTGTAAGTGATACGTTAGATGGGCACCCTCTTCCACCACGCATGCCATATTAGGAAGGATGGAAGGAGACTGATGAACAGAAGACACACACCTAGCGGAATCAACCCGAACATATGGCATATGTGGAAACTAAAAAAAAATTAAGGTTTTGGACTCTGCATTCCTTTAAGCCAGAAAATGTTCTGAGATAACCAATTACAAAATAAATCCCTAGGATACAGAATTTCTGTGTGGGGTAATGAAAAAGTATTGGAAATAGTGGTGATGGTTGCATAATGCTGTCAGTGCCATTGAATTATATACTGAAAAATGGTTAAGATGGCAAACTTTGTTATATATATTTTACCACCAAAAAGAAAGCCAAATGACAGTAAAAAAATGAATAAATCCCTAATTAGGTCCTGTGACAGCCCTGGTGTTTCTCTCCCTTATCACTGTTGGCCTTTGAATGCTTCCTACCTCTCTGGCTTCTAGCTTGGGACCTGGAAATTAAAACAATCTTATATCTCAGCTTCCATGTAACTTTATGACTTAGAATTTCTATGACAATGTTCATTCAATTGACTTCCTTTAAAACGTATACACCTGATAATTTTTACACAATCAAAGGCTGATAACTTCACCTTCATTCCTTTTTGCCTTTCTCAGCTGCGTGTTCTATAACATGTGTGTCCTTTCAGTCCCCTCCTGGCCCAGTTCCATAACATGCTCTTACATGTTCTGTATTTAGGTTACAGATTTTTTGCAAGTCACTGGAGAAGCTGGCAAAGGTACAATGCTATGTCAGCATGCATGAGAGCAATGATGGAAATTTACTTCTTAGGGGAAGATCTGTGTCGTTCCCCTGTCAGACACAGGGCAAAGGGACCTCAACAGACCAGGCATGTAATATCCTTATAGGATGAACAGAATTCTACAGAATCTGTAATTGCTATCAACTTCCATTATAAAATTAATAACGCTGTCACAAAAGGAAAAAGAAAATCACCCGACACCCTTGGGTTGACATTTTCAATGAGAAAGGCCTTCAGTGAGCAGCTGTCCAGGCGGTGCCTGGCTCAGTGACCGCTGGGCCCAGTGCTCGCACTGGACATCCCCTCTCCTTTGCTGCATGCCAGGCTCCGGTGCCCCCCAACTCTCCCCAGCCTATAAGAAGCCTTCCAGAACCCCGAAGGCCTGACCACTTCACTGGCAGAAATGCTGGAACCGGGCTGTCCTCCTTTCCTTTTGCTCTGGCCTTGACACCTCCCAGAGAGAGGTCACAGTGCCACATTTGTCCAAAAGAGGGCTCCACCTTAACACAGCATGCTTTCCAGCCCAAAAGCCCTAACTTCAAGGCTCCACAGGCTGAACAGCCAATTAGCCACGCGCTTTATCAGTTCAATAATTTCAAAGTCCACATATTGAGTTTACTTATGAGAGCTGACTATACAGCTAGGCCTTGGGGTAGAAATGTAATTATATTTCTCATGTGTGCTCAGACTGTGTAAACTGTCTAAAATTGGGACTGTTCATTATACATTGATAGTGGCACAACAAATTAACTCAGTCTTTGTGGAAAACAATCTGGCAATATATAACAAGAGCTATAAAATGGTTCCTGCCCTTTGACTGGTTAATCTCACTTTGGAGGAAATGATTGAAAGAAACAACCCAAAAATAATTTGTTAAAAAAATGTTCACACCAATGATATTTTCAATAATTAAAAATAAAAATATTATTGACCCAAATGGTCAAGAATAAGAGAATGACAATCAAAATGTTATATCACCATACAACAAAGGTATTAAAAATAAACACTAAGGGAATCATATGTATACATGTACTTGCAAATGTATAATTTAAGTTAAATACTAAATATACTGACACATAGATGCATGATTAGAAGTGAGTCTGAAAAGATATAAATGAGATTTTAAGGTTAATTAGATATTCTTTCCTATAAATTGATCTAATTTCATAACATAAAAATAAAAGTAGACAAAGTAATTTCATATTAATATTTTAAAAAGGACCAAAAGACTGAGTTAAAAACAGTGAATAATTGGAAACCTAATGCTCAGAAATTCCTAAGCAATATAAACTTATACGTATGTACACATATTTATATTATATGCATGCATGTAAATATGTATTATATATCTAAACATATACAGAGGGTGCCAAAAAATGTATACACATTTTAAGAAAGGAAAAATCTGTAACAATTGTAATACTCAATATACACAGATAACAAAAGAGGAATACAAGTCACATTTGACTTCTGCAATTACAAGAGGTGCTCAAAGTGATTACCATCAACGTCCAGACACTTCTGATTAAAGCAAGCTACTGCTTGATTATAGATAACATCTCTCAAAATGAGTATACATTTCTTTTGACACCTCTGGTATATGTAATACACACCAAAACTATTTATATGATCACGGCTTACATTTTTCCCATGAATTAATCTTCATTATTTATTCCAATGTATTTCTCTGCAAATAGACCTATCCCATTTTTTGCTATGAAAAAACCTAAAACAGAGAACTAAGATTTTTATCTAGAATGCAAACTATTTAACGGCTTTTAAGTGGAAGCATCATTACCCTCTATCTAGTAGCTCCTGTACACTGCCTTCTGGGTAACTGGGCAGAGAAACATGAGAACAGAGCTAACATAACCCCACGGAGACATGAGGTTGGTTAATCATCTTGAATGGAGCCGACCCTAACAGCCCTTTACGCCTTCCCAACCCTGGCCAGGGTGGTTTCTCTGCCCGGAAGATGGGTGTGTGAGTCATGGAATACACAGTGCTCAGCAAAGTACAGACTATTATGCCCGTGTCGCCACATGTCCTTAATCTCTCTCCTTAGGCGTCAGGACCCTCCCAGGCTACCTCCCTTTCCCTTCCAGGCAGACACACCCATGACCTGGTTTTACAAGTGGGCTCTGGGGGCCCACACCCTGGGCCTGACTCCTATGCTGACAGGAAATGCCCTCTTGGCGAGAGCACATCTTGTGCTGAGAGGGTGAAGAGCTGATCTGTGTCCCAAGTTTTCTGCCCAGATGGTGTCACAGTTCTTGCAGTTTCTGGAGACTGATTCCTGGTGTGATCTGGACTTTATGTTTTCCTTTTGGGCCCATCAGACTCCAATATTCCTGTGTCTCTGGCTTCTGCTCACTGCCTAGTTTCACCTTTGTATCTACTCTGACCGTCCAGTCCTATGGATCTAGGATCCCAGGCTGCTCACTGTGGCTTCCTCCCTGGGCCCAGCCCATTCTCTGATTATATCCTGCATCTTAGGCTCTCAGCCTGGCCTCTGATTTCCCAGCCCCGGCTTCTTCTTGGCTATACATCCTCTCAGTCTCAGGGATTCAGTTCAGGGGAAAAGAAAACACAATTAAAGGAGCTGGAGGGACCCTAGTAGAGAAGAGTGAAAGTAAGCAAAATACACTTCGCAAATGTTTCCTTTACTGAACAAGTTCACTTCGCTAGGCCGAAAATACCATTTAAGAAACTAATCAACCCCTGATAAAGCTCACGCTAAGTCAGTAAATCAGCTGAGATCAGAAATAGCACTATAAATGTTTTGCTGATCATAGCTAGGCATTGTCGATCTATAAACTTTAACAAATACAAGATGAGCTATATACAGAAGGTGCCAAAAAAATGTATATACATTTTAAGGAAGGAAAACTATATTAAAATTGTAATACTCAATATACACCAATAACAAAAGATGAAAACAGTCACATTTGACTTCTACAATGACAAGAGGTGCTCAAAGTGGTTGCCATCAGCATCCAGACACTTTTTTTTTTAATTTATTTTTTTTATTGTTAGTTTCAGGTGTACAGAACAATGCAATAGTTACCCTTTTCACCCTCACAAAGTAACACCCCCCCTCCCCACATCTATTGCAGACACTTCTGATTATGGCGAACTACTGCTTGGGCAACGCTGACCAAAGTGTCCACTTGTATACATTTTTTTGGCATCCCTGGTATATATCAGTGTGTGTGTGTGTGTGTGTGTGTGTGTGTGTGTGTGTGTGTATCAGTGTATCATGAGTCCAGATCACATATAGAGCCACTTGTAAGTTATCACAATTCTAAAAAGAAATGCACAAATAAAAGAAAAAATAAATAAAAAGGGGGAAAAAAAAGCCAAAAAGACAAGGATACAAAATGAATAAAAAGAAATGCACAAAAAAAATCATAGTGTGAACAATAGCATACAAATTATTATCTGGCCAATCTAGCTAAAATTTAACCTAACTTCAAAGTCATTTGACTTTAAATATGAGGATTATCGGGGCTAAATAAGATGAACAAATAGCATATTTCTTTCGTTAAGGAATCGGCTCTCCTATCCTTAGCTCCAATGATGGCCTCCATTCATCAATGATAATGGCCCTGAATTTCAAATATTTACAAATCCTAAATAAGAAACTCAAATGCTTTCAGAATGAAAGATCTACATATATCAGATAATTACACCTCAACATAACAAATGGTTATTCTTCATGATTAACACAAGTGTTTCTCTCTCAGAGTAGCTTTGACTTTATCTTTACACTGTTCTATGTCTTATATATATATGTATGTATCAATGGAGGATTATTTTTGCTATTTTGGTTAGAGCCTACT